CGGGTGCCCGGAGAGGCCAAGACGAAGGCCACAGGGAAAGAGTGGGTGCCTGGGGGGTCTGAACGACAAGGCAGAGACGGGCAGTGGGATAGGCTGACAAGGCTGACACAGGAGTGGAATAGGCTGCCAGGTGTGGCCACCAGGTGTGATGTCAATAGACTCTGGGGGCTGCAGGCTCAGTTTCATTAAATCAGGGACTTGACTCGACATCCATAATCTCCTCTGGATGCTTCAAGGAGAGAATGGGGTGGTAATGCAGTGGGACCAGGGCCAGCAGTGTCCCGAAGGGACCAGGAGCAGGAGGTGCCGAGGGGCCCAGCTCAAGGGGGAGGGGGAGATGGGCACTAAGGATTTCCACCCTTGAGTTCGGGTCCCTGTGGGGGTCTCTGATCTTTCTCCATCTACAGGAATCTCAGCTCGGCCTCCCAGGCCACTCGCCAGAAGATGCGTGAGTGCCATGGGCTGGTGGACGCCCTGGTCACCTATATCAACCATGCGCTGGACGTAGGCAAGTGTGAGGACAAGGTAAGGGGCGGCCAGTGGTGAGGGGCAGCTGGTGCGGAGGGGCTGGGGGGCCTGGCCTGTTTGGACCGCGGACTGTTCCCCACAGAGCGTGGAGAATGCCGTGTGTGTGCTGAGGAACCTGTCCTACCGCCTGTATGACGAGATGCCACCGTCCGCCCTGCAGCGCCTCGAGGGCCGGGGCCGCAGGGACATGGCTGGGGCACCGCCTGGTGAGGTGGTGGGCTGCTTCACACCGCAGAGCCGCCGGCTTCGAGAGGTGAGCGTGGGCCTGGGCTGGTGGGAGCAGGGGGCCCAGCTTGACCCTGCCTGACAGTCTGCACCCTCCTGCCCAGCTGCCCATCACCGCTGATGCACTCACCTTCGCTGAGGTGTCTAAGGACCCCAAGGGCCTCGAGTGGCTGTGGAGCCCCCAGATTGTGGGCCTGTACAACCGCCTCCTGCAGCGCTGTGAGCTCAACCGGCACACGACGGAGGCGGCCGCCGGGGCCCTGCAGAACATCACTGCCGGCGACCGCAGGGTGAGGGGACCACAGAGCAAGTGCCCTGAGCTGGTCATGTGCAGGGGACATGTGGGGTGCATGGAGGATGGGAGCCTGTTCTCCAAGAGTTGACAGTCTGTTGGGAGAGGGATAGTGGGATGAACGCAAACTCATGGGTGGGCCAGAACAGCAGAGGAGAGAGGAAACCAGGCAGGACATGACCCGAGAGTGACAGCCTCTGAGCTGGGCAGGAGAGACAAGAAAGAGGGGGCATCTGCGGGGCAGCAGGAGAGTGAGGTCGGCATCCCAGGACAGGCTTCAGGACCGTGAGACTTCAGGTCCTGCACCGGGTCTGAGGGGAGGTGCCCGGTAGGTCTAGGCTGAGGGGAGCCTGATCAGAGTCACGCTTGGTCCTGGCTGAGGGGCAGAGACAGAGAAGCCAGTCCTGCCTCAGTTTCCCCACAGGTGGGCTGTGAGAATGCAAAAGGCACCTTCACCTGCACTCACCAGCCCCTCTTCCACCTGCAGTGGGCGGGCGTGCTCAGCCGCCTGGCTCTGGAACAGGAGCGCATCCTGAACCCGCTGCTGGACCGCGTCCGCACAGCCGACCACCACCAGCTGCGCTCACTGACTGGCCTCATCCGAAACCTGTCTCGGAATGCCAGGAACAAGGACGAGATGTGTGAGTCAGCGTCCCACATTGGGCTCTGCCCTCACCCGCCCAGTGGGCTCTCCCCGGGATCTGGTCTTTAGTGCCTCCCAGCCGGGAGGGCTTCTGGCAAAGGTGGACAGATAGGCACGCCAGCTCCCTGAGGGCCTGGAGCGGGGCTGACACCAACCTCCTGGCCTCCCGCAGCCACCAAGGTGGTGAGTCACCTGATCGAGAAGCTGCCAGGCAGCGTGGGCGAGAAATCTCCCCCGGCTGAGGTGCTGGTGAACATCATCGCGGTGCTCAACAACCTGGTGGTGGCCAGTCCCATTGCCGCCCGAGACCTACTGTACTTTGATGGGCTCCGCAAGCTGGTCTTCATCAAGAAGAAGCGTGACAGGTGAGGGCCCTCCCCCCCACCTACCGCCCCCCTCGCCTGCTGGCTGTGTCTGTGCCCTGCTGACCCCTGCCCTCGTCCTCCAGCCCTGACAGTGAGAAGTCCTCCCGGGCAGCCTCCAGCCTCTTGGCCAATCTGTGGCAGTACAATAAGCTTCACCGAGACTTCCGAGCGGTATGTTCCGGCAATCCCGGGCAGGCAGGACACGGGGAGGGGCTTGGAAACCAGGGCAGAGCAGGCCAAGGGAGCAGGGTCCACACCAGCACCCCAGCCAGGGAGGGTGGGGTGGGATGCAGGGCGGCCTGCACCCTCTAATTCATATCTCTCCCCCCAAATGCAGAAGGGTTATCGAAAGGAGGACTTCTTGGGCCCCTAGGCGAGGCCTTCCCAGAAGAGAACGCAACTCGGTCCAGCCTCCGGGGGACGGGCTCAGCTCCGTGCTGCTTGATGGCGGCCTGGAGGAGAAGGCTGATGGCCCAGGGGCCACTTGCAGGAGCCCCATGTGCAACTTGGAAAGGCCTGGGCCACCAGGGAGAGGATGGGGGATGGGGGCTTGCAGCTGGGGACTTGGCTTCCGCGGGCAGGGAGTGGGGCAGGGCTTGAGGCTGCTGTGGTGCGTGGGGTGGTGACCAGGTCACACTGGCAGAGGTGGGGCTGGCCATGGCCCTGCGGTGCCTCAGGACAGCCAGTGCTCAAAATAAAAGTCGTGAAGACAGTGGCCACAGTCCTGCAAGCATCTTTGGCTGGTCTGACCACTGGATATTCCTCAGTGTCCCCAAGTACAGCCCTGCCTGCTCCTGGGTTTGCGCACAGGTCTCTCCAGGTCAGGGAAGATGGAGTGTCCAGCACAGAAAGCTGACAGAGTGGAGGAGCAGGGGTAGAGGGAAGAGGCCTCAGTGCCACCCAAGGTGCAGATTCAGCAGAGCTAGGGGTACTCATGTGGCAAAGGCACCCAACACCTCTCTTTGTCCTGCCCTCCTGGGCCTGGGGGTGTCCTGACCAGGAACTGTCAAGCTGTCCGAGGCTTGGGATCCAGTATGCTCTGGGACCCTTCGCCCATCTCATTGAGCCAGGCCACTCAGTTATGAAGCTCCCAATGAGATAGATAGATGATAGATTAGACAGATAGATGATAGATAGATAGATAGATGATAGATAGATAGATAGATAGATAGATAGATAGATATAGATAGATATAGATATAGATAGATAGATAGATAGATAGATAGATAGATAGATAGATAGATAGAT